ACCCCATAGCATCCACGTGCCCACCATGTGGGACCACGCATTTGGATTCAGCTAGGTCGGAGCCAACCCGTATGACCGAAGTACTAACCTAAAAAAGGGATGGAAGGGGAGCCTTAACCCAGCCTTGAGCAGATTCTCGCTCACAACCACACACCCCGACGTTGGGTAGCATGCCTTCTCATGGCTCTCTGCCACTATCAACTCTATGCTCTCAGGGATCCTAAAGACCACCCTACACCTTTCCAACACCTCCCTAGTGATATTAGAAGGATAATCTGAGGCCCCCCATTAGACCGAGGTGTCTAAGGGAGAGGCTGGCCATTTCCAAATATTCTCTCTGGCCCTTACTCAGCTCATCCAGCCACACCAACATTGGCTCCATCAGCCCGGAACCCCCTCACCTCTCCTCTCCTCTCCTTGCTCCCCGAGGCACTCACTGACTGTTCACTCGCCATACGGACTTTTGGAGAAATCTAAAGAAAAAAGGAAAGAAGGGAAGAAACTTAATCGAGTCTGGTTACCTAGTTCAACGACCGCCGAAGTTCGCAAGGTCGATTTCCGGAATTCTTGGTGGTCGTCGGAGAAGGGAACACGAACACTGCCACAATTCTTGGAGATTTTCGCAAAAGTAAACTCTTCAAAAGTGAAAGGAATGAACCTTTTATAGGCGTACCAAATTCGACCCAGCCGTTGGATCTCCCAAGTCGAATCAAAGCCATGCATTATTGAGATGCAAGGATCTCCGTTAAAGTCAAGGGTCATTCGAACCAACGATCTTGATGGAGCCGTGATTCTCACGCGGGACCCAAGCACGTTGCCTTGAGGAACGAGAGCCGTCGCCATCATTACCCTTTATGGCAAAGGGGGCGTGCTTTGAAAGCAAGCGAAAGTCCCCCATTGTTGCCTCGAAAAAATGCGAAAGCCTTCAAATCATTTACACAAAACCCAAGGCTGTCCCTTCAGAGCCCTCAATAGCTTCGACCAGAGAAGAACTTAGCGTTGCAACAGCTCTCCAAAGAGTTGCCAACCCTCATCTCTTCGGCCAGAGCAAAACTTGGCGTTGCAACAGTTCTCCAAAGAGTTGCCAACCCTCATCGCTTCGGCCAGAGCAGAACTTGGCGTTGTAACAGCTCTCCTAAGAGTTGCCAACCCTCATCCCTCGGCTAGAGCAGAACTTGGCGTTGTAACAACTCTCCAAAGAGTTGTCAACCCTCATCGCCTCGGCCAAAGCAGAACTTAGCGCTGCAACAGCTCTCTAAAGAGTTGACAACCCTCATCACCTCGGCCAGAGCAGAGTTTGATGTTGCGAAAACTCTCCACGAAGTTGTCAACCCTTACCACTAAAAGTCCTTGTACTATATGAATATCCGTACCTGGACTTGCGGGACTATTGTTACGGGCCTGTGTCAGACCTGCCACCTCACCCGCCGCGTGTCAGCAGAGGTGGCCCAAGCCATGTCACGCCTCAAACGAGGTGATTGCTCATGGGCCGAGTTGACTAGATGTACCGAAGTGATCACACGAGAAACGAACCAAACAGGCGCCAGTGAATGAACCGGACTCATCCGCAAGCGTACCGAGGTTGCAAAGGCCTACACTCCACTTCTACAACGTTGCAACGCCTCACCTACCTCGTTTCGCCTCATCAAAGATCTCTTGTATTGCAAGCGTGCCGCGGATGCAAAGGCCCGCACTCCACTTCTACAACGCTGCAACGCCTCACCTGCCTCGCGTCACCTCATCAAAGATCTCTTGTACAAAGATCTTTCCATAGTCAAATCCCTGACTGATGGGACGTGTGGCAGACTACAGACGGTCAATTCAGCTGTTATGTCAGAAAGCATTCAATTCCAGCCAACCTACGGATGGACAGATTGACGCCTTGGAAAGGACGGTCCTTCAGGATCTAAAGCCACGTGTCTCCTCATCCAACGGCTCTTCCCTTCCCATCCTTGGTATAAATACTCACTCCTTGTGCCTTGAGAGGGGGATTACTCTCTCTTTTTCTACTTACAAAATCCAGCATACTACACAAAACTTTATTATCTTCTCCCCCATATTGTTGGCATTTTTATTATCATATATTCTCAACCATTTCCCAGCGAGTGTCCTACCGCCGGCGAATGTAACACACTGCTCCTTTTCTATAGCAGGCAGAAGATGTTGATCAAACTTTGAGGCCTGAACAAATTCTTTGGCTTGAGATTTTTGAGGAGATATAAGGTTACGGACAGTTTTAGAAATAGACTGACGAGATTTTGTGTAAGGAAGATATGGATTTACAAGAGGGAGATCTGTGAGTGGAACTTTATTAGATTCAAAAAGATAAGATATCTCATAGAGATATTCCATCTTAGTTCTCATTTAATTATATGTTAATTGAGCGAATATCTACTTCATTTGTGTTAATTGTAGAAACAATCTCAACTTAGATAAAATTGGTGGGAAAATGGTTTTTGAAGCTTAATTGCAGTTGATTCGAAGCAATTAAAAATTAATCGGATTGCAATTAATCAATTGAAAGTTTTAATAGAGCATTCGGTTAAAAGAAAAACAATTCCCTTTTTCAATTAGAGTCCTTTTGTCGTGCAATTTTAGTCATTTATTTTCTATTTTTCACAATTAAGTCATCTTCATCCCAAAATAATTAATAATTGCTCGATGCAAGTTCCGAAAGTTTGAAATTTTATTTTCAAATATCAAATTTAAATTCCGGAACTTATGCATTTTTGTTTTTACTAAATGAGCCATTAATACTTTCAATTGATTAATTGCAATTTGGTTAATCTTCAATTGCTTCAAACCAACTACAATTAAACTCCAAATAACCCCTTTCTTCACACCAATTATATCCAAGTTGATATTTTTCTTACAATTAATATAATTTACACAAATTAAATAGATATTCACTCAATTTACATATAATTAAATAAGAATAAAAGTATGAATATATACATAAAATATACTTATCAAATACTTTCAAATTTAAACTCTTCTTTGCCCCGAGCAAGATTATCTACTAACTATACAAACAAACAAAAACACAACATTAAATAATTTTGTTGAACTCACATTAAATATTGAAATAGTTTGATAATTCATAAAAAATTCATAAGTAATACAACTAAAACTAATTCTTTACCTATGCTTGATACAAGTGCAGTGCATAGTCAATTTAATCATCATGAACTTTTAAGTTGATTATATCACATCATTTCATTTATCTCACATGGGATGCACACCCCCAAATTAATTTTTCAATCACATATCTGAAATGTTTATTCTAAGGTTGATTATACAACTCTCATTCATTTCCTGCTCAAGTTGGATTGGGTTTTATCAATGAAAGTCGCTACAACCTCCAAACTTCAACTAGGATACTTATAACCCTCACTAGAAATCTAAATTTCAAATTAAGTATCCAATGCTTAAATGTGCAGAAACAATAGTTATAGTTATTTTGCTACTAACTCAACACACTTTGGTGTGATTTTTTTAAAAATTATTTTATTGTATTCCTTTTCTGATTTTGAGATCTATACTTTATTTTTCTAAAATGGTTTTCACTCTACATTGTTGGTAGCCTTCTTTTCCGATATATCGCCTCCTAAACATTTGTGATGAATAGGACCGAACTACTCAAAACTAGTTTTACAAAAATATTCAACAAGCACATGATCAACACTGATCTAAATACCTTCCAACACCGAATCAACCAACCCTAAACTATTTTTTTTTTTAAGTGTTTGTGTGCAACATATTATGATCTTAGTTTATAAAAACGTAAGTTCATTCAATATATTCTATCAAGATAATCAATTCATAGTAATTATCATAATTATTGTACTCAATATAATACGATGTTATAAACAAGTATGAAATTAGCAAAACAAATCGTATCAATTATTCACAATTCATGAAACATAAATAATTTCAATTAACCGGTTAGGCTATCTAACTCACACAAATACACGGATAACTACTAGTTATGTCTTTAAGTACTTTTAAGTGTCGAATGTTGTAATTCCCACTCACTATTTTCACTACTGAAGTCAAGGATTTCAATATGAATGCAACGTGAAAGAACATAAATCTAACAGAATTATTTATCATACACTTGAAAACAAAGAACTATGATTTGCCCTAAAGCACGCATAGTTGAGACTTTTATTTTAGAAAAATTGCACGCAAACTGAGCATTTACTAATGTTACCGATGATCTTACATGAATAATGACATTGCTTCAAGAACTTGGGATCTCTCTCTCACTTCATCCAGTTGTTTGGTGGGATAATGAAGATGTCGTTACCTTAACCAATAATCCTATTTCCGTGTATGTACTAACCATATTGAAATCGATAGATGAAGTCTTACAAGGAGAATTACTGGCATGAACACAATGCTAGTTTGATTTAAAAAAATTGTCAACTTTTCAACTTACCAAGGGTTTGAACCACATTATTTTGGAAAAATATATTTTGGAATAGTAGATTAGTGGAGAATATGTCGTTGAAAAAGAAGGAAAAATTATTCATGTGATAAAAAATATTATTTTATTGAAGAATGTATGGTTGAAAATGAGTTGAAGAATGAAAATGAAAATTTTAATGTAACTCAAACAGGAGCCAAACTTCAATTTTAACCCATATTTCATGACACAATTTTTGTTAACTTTTCAATCACTCGTTTAATCCCTTTTTATCAAAATAAGCTAAATTTTTTTATCAAAAGCTTTGTCACACGTCTGAAAGCAAACAGCTTTATCTCAGATTCAGAAAAGGTGTCATTTTATTCAGAGGTCCATTCATTATATCCCAGCCCCACAATGCCCAAAATGATGCAAACCATTATTCACCAAAAGGGTGTCAACAGCACAAAATGGAGCACTCAATCACAGCAAAATCCCATGTTGTAATAAGACAAACACGTAGTTTTTGGATTCTCTATACTTGGACTTATTTACAACCGCGATTTTGTTTCCATTGGACGTGGCTCATTTTCTACCATGTGTGAAGAAAAGCAGCACTACAGGGGATCTCTGTACATGTCCTGTTCTCAAACTTGGATCTGATTGGTAGGTCTGTTCACGGACATCACGAGGAGTGGTGGACCAATGACACAAGATTGAGCCACGTTAACATAAATGTGAGCCGTTGATGTGAGAAGGGATGGGGTGGATACCATTTTTGGAGAGCTCATTGATGACAGCCTCAGTTGATGGAGGTTTTAGGCCTAATGGAAGGGGCAGCCAAGGCTTGCTAATTGCCTCTTTAACAACTTTGTCAATTATCTCCTCTTCCTGCAGTGTGCAATAAGGAATCTATTCACTTATAATAAAAGAAAAGAATGCGAAGAAATTGACTCCAAAAATTTATACTACCACTATCCCACAAAAGTTCACTATTAGTTTGTTAAATGGTACCAACACATTTCATTTGCTCGGGTTGGTGAAATCTAGCAACCCCTATGATATAGATATCCATAAACGTTCGTATGATTTACGAATGCCTTTTGTTCCATTCAGTAGGAGTAATGTGTTCCAGACATTTTATATACTGAACCACCATATTAACCCATAACCAGTATAATTATTGTGCGAGGATGCACATTAATAACACACTCTTGACAAGGTTTAGTTTAAAACGTTTTTGCACAAACTAACAATTTCGTAAGTTTATCTTAGGAATGTTGTAGCAAAAACCTAGAAGCAATAAAGTTCTATAAACACGAGTATGGTTGCTACCAAGTAATGGACGGGACATGATGGGACTGGACCATACAATGCGTAAAATCTTAGCTTCTTTTTCTTTCATAATATGTCCAATATCTAGCTGTAGTATAACCTAAAGAGAAGAAATCGGCATCTACTAGGATGCTTCTTCATCACAGGGATGGAAGAGTATAAAGGGCTTATTGTTACACTGGCCGAAATAAGGTTCCACAGAAGCTAGGAGCTTAAAAGATACTATAGTAAAAATGTAAAATTTGGATGTAAAGTTTCCATTCTAAAACATAAACTGAGTGGTGCTTTTGAGTACAATTTTTTTGCCTACAAGATTTGAAGTAATCAAATAACATGAACCTTACCGGATATATATCAAATGAAGGCACGCCAACTCTACTATGCATTTCATTAGCATTGTGAAACCCATTTGCATTCTGCATCATTGAACAATGTATTTCAAGTAAGTCCATCTCCATCACGTAGACATGCATAGAGCCTAAGATTAATGCTGAAATTAGAGATAAATGAGTAATAAACTCACTTGATGAGAAGGCAGACACGATCCATGAGGCGATGGCATCACAGGGCATCCCCAGGCATCGGCATGCATCTGAAATAATAGAAGTATCAACTATAAGGTCAGTCGTACAACACCATAGTCACATAGTTACACCCAATGGGACACATTAGGGAACAAGTGCATTTTTAAGTTGAAGGAAATTGATTGTACCCCAGAATAAGGTTGCCAATACCAACTTTCTGTGGGTTGCCATCCAGAATAGTAAGGTGAACCCCACGTCTGGACAGGACTTGGATAATTTCCAGGTGGCATCCAGGCAGGATAGACATGACCAGCAGGGTGGATATAATTAGAATGATACTGTGGAAAGGCCATGACGGGTTTCTGCAGATAATGACTTTTTCGTGCTGAATCTCTAGGATGAGGCCATCTCCGGTCATCTTCCTTTGGCAAAATGTGCCTCCGATGCATTCTGTATTTCTGCTTAAAATATCTCCTTTTAAAGAAACTTATACATCAATAAGAAAATTTCAACCCCATCCAATCCAACTATTCCAAACCAACAATAGAATAGTATTCCACCAAAAAATAATTGCGGAGATATCAAAATAATGATGGATGGCATCTAAGTGCAGACATTCTTCTATTTCTCTATTATTATGATTTTGATAAACATATTTCCACTAATTTAGTCAGTTATTCGTTCTCTTGTTTAATCCAAAGGGCAAGTAAACCTTTTATAGATATTTACTATTTGACATCAATTTACTGCAACTTTTGTGTTATAATCCTTACAAATTGATATGTAATTTTACGATCACAAAATTACTTCAACCATGAAAAGAGGAAAAGGAAAAGAAAAGCCACAGTTACTCACCTGTAGATGGCTTGCTATGTTATGTCTGGTTAAACCTTCTACTTTCATTATTTCTAATATCCGAGAAGGGATGGCCTGATCCACCCCAAGTTGCTCTACTGCTTGTACAAACTTTTTGTGTAGTTCAGGTGTCCAGTCTACCTGAATTGGACCAAGCAAAATTGAATAACCGTCTTCTGAAAATATGTTGTCTAAAAATGCAGGATTATCGGAACCTTCAGTAAAGTGATGACTAAATACCGAGAGACTCAATTGGAACCTTACATCATTATAGATGAAGAATTCCATGTAGCTCTTCAATAAAAAGAAATTGCACATATGTAGTTCACAGAGATCCGAAGAAAACAGAAGTTAAAAAGGGCAAAAAAAAAAAAACAGTACTTCATTATACAGTCAACTATTTCTTTTGGGCATCGAAGCATGTATCAAATCAGGTGTTTTATGAGACTGTACAAATTTCAATAGACATTCAGACAGATTTTTTGTTGTAATTTACACTAACAACCAGATAACTGATGGAATGGAAGACTGGTAACGTCTAGATGTCATCCAAAAATAAGGTTAAATTCCTTGATCAAGACGAAAGAATATAAANAAAAAAAAAAAAAAAAAAAAGAAACTCTGATAAATGACATGAAAAACTCCTATGGAGACGGCAAAACAAAGATTCAGCTAAAGTATATTATATGGAGTTTGGAGTTATTTACAAAAGTAAGAACAAAACAGATATGAAGCTCATTTACGTCACTGAAAATTTGGAACATTAAAATTCAGAAAGGTTGGAAATGATACAGAATGGTTTCATGTTTTTATGCAACACTCAAGGACTACTGGCACAACAGTTGCAAGTTAACAGAATCAGATAATGTAATTTCGGAACAAATTTGAGCATTGCTCATATCCCATCTTACCTTTGACTTCTTATTTGCCTTAGTCCCACACGAATCACGAATTGTTGATGCTTTATTCAGCTCGGCAGCGGCGCTGTGACAATTATTGGAGCAGTCTTTATTTTGTGAATGATGCAAACATTTGGATACACTCGAAATAGTATCAGCTGATTCATGCTCCTCCTTAATGGCAGCCTGTCCCAATGGTTGAAGTTGGATTATTTCCTTTGCTGTTTCAGCAACTGAATTGCAACAAGTTGTGTCGACAGATTTGGATTCCTCATCTTGTTCCCCACTTTCCCCTTCTACTGATAAGGTAGTTGGATCCAGACAATCACCATCATCCAGGGACCTCATTCCATGTTTCAGCTGTGGGGTCGAAGGAGCTTGGTATTTGTCACTGCTTGATGATGCTTCCTGCTTTGTCTCTAGCACAGGAGTTGAGTGCTGTGTGTCAATGGATGTTAGTTGATCCGGTTCATCCTTGTCTGTTTGGCGCTGCAGCATGGAAACGACAGAATCTTTGACAGGCTTCAGTGAATCAGAGACATTTTTTCCTCCTGCGTTGAATGCCTGCTCAAATGATTAGGATCTTCTCTTCAAGGAATAAAACCAAAGGCCTGAAGGAAACCAGAAACCCTCACAAAAAAATTACAATATGGTGAACTTAGAATTGAACCAACCTTATGAACTACATGCTGCCAAATATTCCTGAGTTTTTCATCCGACAGAGGTCTGTGAAGGAACTCAACAGCGCCAAGCTGCAAAAGTTCGAAGTACGAAATGATAAAGAATTGAAACAGTGATATCAACTGTTTCAGAATGTGTAAAGTAGTCCGCTGTCTAGAGTGCCTAAATTTATATAGTTCTATATCTTAGAATGACAAATAATGTGATTTTTTAACAAAACATATTTATAAACACAAAATCAGACATGCAATTTTCGAACTCTTCATGCAGGGATATGCATTAGATTAGATCTTCATGTCTTACCGAAATACATCTCATCATGGTGCTGAGACACTGGATGTTTGAAGTTGCTGGGACAAAAAGAGAGAAACAAAATCTTCTTAATCAATACATGTGAGAAGGAGTTTAAATTCTCTTGCTTCAGTTACTGAACACTATGCTGCACATATATGCTGACTTAAGTATTTCATAGAAATCAAATCAAAAGACCACACACCCAGAAGTTTGTTTCAAAAAGTCCATAATAAATAAAATCTACTAAGCTGGAAATATGTAGAAGGATAGAAATGATACTCACACTCCAAAATAATTAAATTGGCTGCAGAATGGTAGTTAAAAAAAACTTACAATTTGTCATTTTATAGTGTTAGTAGCTACATGGAGAGACCATTCTCAACATAAAAAGTGGAACGTGTGAGAAAAGTCACTGCACAATTGCACTTACTTATGGTGGGCAAGTCTCTGGAATTCTCAAGAAATTTATATACCCCATCCTTGTTGCTGGAACTTACCTGTAACATTTGTTATATTGTTAAGATTACAAAATAGGACTCAGGCTCTCTATTCATTGTAATGTTTTAACAACAGAAAATGAGTCCAGCGCTATCGTTGAATGAGTACATTAAGCTCTCATACAGTAGGAATTTGAGCAGAAAATGTAACTTTCAGACTTTCTTTGAGTATTCACTCTTTTCTCTTTCTTTGTTGAGGATTAGTCTTCTCCTTCTATAGATCAGAAGTTATGAACCTTTTAACACACATATAACCAATTATTCCCAAATGGTTCTAAGACAAACCCATTGGAACAGTAATTTGCTATTTCATTATGATGAAGTCCACAGATAAAATTTCAGTTATGCTCATATGTTGCTGAAGACAAAGAAAAAGAAAATGGTAATGAAAAAGTTTAGTACCTCTACGATAGCAACATGGAAGCTCTCAGTTTTGTTCGCAATTGCTGACAACGCTTCTCTCTCATTGCAGAAAGTGAAAACTGTAAGGCAACAGAAAAGGGCAGCATTATCATCAGGCAGAAGTAGGAAATAATTTTCTCTAATTCATATATGCATTCAGAAATGCACAAAAAGTTCTACCATTACAACGAAAAATTGAAATGTTGTGCATATAATAACAAAATAAAGAGAGAGATTTATAATAGTGAATAAACGGTTGCTCCAGTATTTAAGAAGTACAAAATATTTATCTACCAAATTTACAATTGGGAAGACTCCGTAAATTACAAATCTAATTGTCATGATAAATGTAGAATTGCAGAGTTCCAGTTATTTCCTGGGAAAATAAACTTGGAGCTGACCCAACAAAACTAATCTTGACCACTTTAACACATTAAATGAAATTGACCAAACATCATCTGTTCAGCATGATTAAACCAAAATGCTATAGTTCTCACCTATACCTATTATAATTAGCCAACCATAAGTCAAAGAATACAAGAAAATAAGGCATGATATGAATCAAACCCATAAATTTTTAGGGATCAAACAAATAGAAGAAACAGAAAAGTATAAACTTGTTGCATATGTTCAAAAAATTTAAAAATAATCAAGGGGACTCTCTCTAACACAAAATGAAGAAAGACAAATAATTTACCTACGTATTCCATTTCCTCGAGCTTTGATGTCATCTTGAGGGCAGAATCCTTGTCATCGACGAGGAGGAGGACTCGAAGACCTTTGGGGAAATCTTTCAACCCCAGTAGATTATTACCAGTGCAAGCCATGGCTTGTTTTGCATAGTTTTCAAGCTAAATGATTAAAGTTTCAACTTCGGTAAAGAACAACAAAATCACCACCTATTAGTTGAACATATCAAGGTATTATGACTCATCACAGCCCAAATAATAATTTTTCGCCATAAATCAATTAAAGAATATTCATGAAAATCGAAGAAGCAAGTATATTCAAGATTTGGTAATAAAAGCATACATTAAAATATACAGATCACGTCACTGATTCAACACCAAAAAACTTGAATATGATCAAACTGACGTCAGATTTACCTCTATGTTCTGTATCAGGCATTTTCGTGGGTGTGAGTAAATGACAGAGAAAATATAAGACTGTAAAAGTTTCAGAAACGAACAAATGTACAAAAGGCCCATGTGAAATTTTCAGGCATTATGAAAAATAAAAATAAAAAAGGAACCATTACAAGAGAGAAAGTACACTAAAAATAATTTAACTCATGAAGAAAGAGAGAAAAAATTAAGGAGTTTCCTCCTAGTGTAATTATCAAGTACCAATACCTGAACAAGTAGCACTTATTTCGACAGTTTCCCATACCCAGAAAAATTTTGGAAAAAAAAAGGTAATTATGCATGGAATTTATTGCAATTTTGTCATCTGATTTTCTCGTAGTACTTACTTTTCTTGTTCTGGTTCTGGTTCTGATTCTGGTTCTAGAGAGAGAAGGTGAGAGAAGTAGTTACCATGAAGTAGCCGAGACAGAGACAAGAATTGAAAGAGTATACCCCAGGACAGGATAATGGCAATGGAGGCTCCTTCTCTCTCCCTCTCATAATAAAGCAATGGAAAACAGTTTTAATTTTGTGAGTTTGCGATTTAGCCACAACCCACTAATTCTGGTAACTATTATCGTCCATAATTTTGTGTTTACTATTCCACCTACATGACCCATGAGGATTGACCCAATTTATCATAACAGTTCTGCGTCTTGTGCATGAGCAGAACCAATAGAAAATCGACGGATCACTCACACATGTGGATCCCGCACAAATTTTTTTTTTTTAAAATACACGTTGGGGCCCACTCATCGTGAGTATTCTAGTGAATTTCTGTGTAAATTTTTCTGCACATGGGGAATAATTCTTATCAAAAAATCCAAGACCAACAATTAAATTCTAATTTGATTTTTTTTTTTATCTTAAATGAATGAGAATAAAATTACCCAAACCTAAATTAATTAAAATAAATATATGTAACAATTCAATTATATGTTTGGTCTGGATTAAAATCTGATTTTAATTAAAGTCAAAGTCAAACAATCAATATTAACAACATCTTTCAAGGATCCCACAACTTTTCAGCCACACATTTCAAAAACTTCTATCACAATTTACTAAAAATCTAATTTTAATCATCACCAAACACCATCTAGTTAATGAGAAAATGAATAGCCCTTGTTTGGGCTCCATTTTTT